CTCATGTGCTCTCTGTCTCTCTCATTCTCTCTGTCTTCAAATAAATAAATAAAACCTTAAAAAAAAAAAAAAGCATAATACCTTTAAATTAGTAAATTTTTTATTGTCTACTACATAAAATTATTTTAAATAGTTATTTTAGAATTCCATAATTAAAAACTGTTTTTAGTAATATTTTAGCAAAATTTTAAATATTATTAATAGTTTATTCAGTACTCATAAAGACTCTAAAGGTATATTATAATTCAGTGTTCAAATTTATATATCACATGCAATTTAGCTAAAATGGTCAAATAATACAATCTATACATATGGTAAATACTCCGATAAAATGCCTATAAAGTAAGAGTGTCATATTAACAGAGAAGGGTCACTTTATCTAGTGAAAATTGAATTCAAAAGAGAAAGTTTCTATCATGGGAAATGTGAAGCTCTACAGTGAAGATTATCTACCCAAATTAAGTTAAATTTTAGTTAGCATTTTTAAAAATGTGATCCAAGGTAACACTAGCTTTTACTAGAGAAATCAAGGCTGTAAAGATTTAGAAGGAAATGGAGGCTATAATTCATATAAATTAAAAAAAAAAAAAAAGGCAGTTCTGAGAATCCATCCTTGTCAAAACTATTCCACCCATCCCCAAGTGTCATTATTACCTAATGAAAGGTAGTATTTCATTATCTTGGGCTACAACACCAAAACCTGATATTTCTTTTGAATTCCTTCTCAATCATCAATAAAGTATGAAAGTCAATGTAGAGCAGAACATTCCAACTTTTTCCTCAGGCATGCTTAGAAAAATAACGATTGTAAGGCAACCTGGAAAGAGGAGGAACTGCTAGTGGTCAAGAGGCAAGCAGCCTGAACTTTGACCTATTCAGGAGCTCTAATTTAGAGTAGGAAAGTGTAGCCTGAGAAATAAATTCCACTTGTTTAAGCATCACAAAAAAAGGCAAGTTACAGGTAAGCATTATAGGAAATAATTTCTGATCCTCTGAATGAAGGAATGAATGACCTCATTGCACAAAAGCCTGCCTTCCTGAAAAAATCCCAGTCAGCCTGCTCTTTATCTGTGCTCCCTTTCTTGTAAAAAAAAAAAAACGTGAACTATAACCCTTTGGGAAGTGTAACAAGACATTTTTAGTACAAGTAACTGTAAATCAAAGACTGGAAAGTCTTCTACCAAAGTGCTTCTTTTACCTTTGAGAAAAGCCATCTTTCTTCTTCACTACTGTTAACCAGTATTCTGACTTATACACACTCTTTAAAGTATTATCTAGTATTTCTTTATTAGCTACACAAGTGTTCTCAGATTACTAATTATCGATCCTTTCTTAAAGGGCACAAGTTTTCTTAGAGGATATGAAAGGAAGGGATTTCACTTCATTTCTATAATTCATCTAAGGTAGATGATTCTACAATGTGACTCACATAAAAAATGGGTACAGAACAGTTTTTACCAAATATCTTTTACATGATTAACTATTGCATGGAGATAACAGTTAATTGCAGTTTACTCACCAAGGATTTTAAAGAAAACCATCAACTTGGGAAGAACTTTGTAAAACTATAGACTTGACAGTCATAAGGTACTACTTCTTTTTTAGATAAATCATGAAACTAGAATCCAGAAAAATGGATTAAAATAAAACCAATCAAGGGGCGCCTGGGTGGCTCAGTCGTTAAACGTCTGCCTTTGGCTCAGGTCATGATCCCAGGGTCCTGGGATCGAGCCCCACATCGGGCTCCCTGCTGGGCAGGAAGCCTGCTTCTCCCTCTCCCATTCCCCCTGCTTGTGTTCCCTCTCTCGCTGTGTCTCTCTCTGTCAAATAAATAAATAAAATCTTTAAAAAAAATAAAATAAAAATATCTATAGATAAGGACATTAATGATCCCAAAATACAGTGATAATGAAAAAGATATACACTTCAATTCTGTTATTGCTTCAGAATTATCTTGATCAGATGTGCATACCCCAGAAAGGGGGCCAAATAAATGTGCTTATTTCAATATCCCTGTCCCATTTGTCTAGAGATTCCATAAGATTTTGCTGTTTTCAATTTATATCCATGCATTACTGCCTCCGCCTTTAATCACTCAAGTCCCCATCACCTAAAACTCTTTACTATAGGCTAATCCCTACAAGAAAAATGGCAACCCTCCAACTGAAAGTAATTTTTCTTTTATGTCTACACAGAGATACACTTATCATCCATGTTTCACAAATAACAAGTTTCTTCTAGGCAAAATGGTCAGGTGAAACAACAGATGTTCTGATTCCTGGGTCAGTGCTTCTATCAGAAAAACCTATTTTCTTGTTGGTCTATTATGATTCTCTACCCTAGGATTAGGTTATGGGCTCAAATTAACTCCTGACATAATGAAGTAAGTTTTCATGTGTTCTTTATGAATCCGTTTTATTCTCACTAGCTTTATGTCAAAGCCACACTCTGAGTAACCACCTAATCCATCAATCTGAGGTTTCTCTGACCAGTTTCACTCCTAGTTAATGCAGACTTGGTCCCATATTTAATTATCCTAAAGTAAACTGTCCACCTTCATTAATGTAACTAATAATCTGTTTCACTCTGATTATTCCTTTTCTCTACTTCACATCTAGGTCATCTTTTCCTTGTTTTTATGCTTTTTCTAGCAAGGTTTTTTCTCCAACTCTTTCTCCATCTTTGACTTGTCTTCTCTTCGCCTATTTTCATGAAGCTAAAACATGCCTTAAATCTTCACTATTTCACTCAGTTCCTAAAATCTACAACCTCTCCTCCAACAACATTCCCATTATTATTAGCTCAGACAAGAAGCATAAACTCCAGGACAGGTCACCACAGGCTCTTTCTTAGACGTTTACAAGGCTTATTTAAATAAGTGTTAGTATATGCCATCTACCATCTTATGCAAACTCAAAACCACCCTTAAATATTCAAACTTTTAGAGATGACATGTTAAATTTATTATATACACTTATGACTTCAACTGGGATTTCCTACAATCCTAAAACCACATTCTGGTTAATTGAGATACATTATCAGGAATGAATCATAAACTCAAAAAACAGAGTTGGAAAGCTTTCAAGAGGATTTAGGGTAACTCTCCATTTAATTGAGGCAGAAACTGGGGGACAGACAAGTTGGGCAACTTTCTAAATTACTAAAACAATTCAGTAATAAAAAATATCCAGAAACCAAACCAGAATTAAAAGTAGACTTATTCAAAATGTTCATGTATTGAAAGAATTATTTGGAACTTAAAACACATTTTCAGTAGAAATAACATTATGGATGCTAACTAAATGGGCTTACAAACTAGTCCCCAATTACATATTTAAAGGGAATTCTAGTTATTTTTAAGAGTCTTGGAAATTTTTGGCATTTTATTCTAATTCTGCTTCTAAGTGTATGCTTTCCTTTTGCTTGATGCAGAAATGACATTAACATTACTCAGCTTTTCAGGTATCCTGATTGCAGTTGGTTTTTGGCTCACAAATAAAAAAGAGCTTTCCACACTAATTAAAAGAGAGTAAATATCTAACATTACCAAAGTTTAGATTCAAATTTTAAAATACATAGATAGAAGAAAACACTCATCTGGGTAGAAGACAGTAGTGTTAAAACTTAGTCTGGCAACCAGGTAGTCTTATGAGCCTAGAATAACTAGATTAATAGAGAATGAAGAGAAAGAACCTGATAAAACAGACTCCAGAGAAGGAGCCAGTAAAATTTTCTGTAAGGTTCCAGATACTTATGGTCTCTACTGAAACTACTCAGCTTGTCATTGTAGTATGAAAGCAGCCAAAGACAAAATGTAAAAGAAAGGCTATGTTGCAAAAAACTTTATTTATGAACACTGAAATTTGAATTTTATGTAATTTCCATGTGTCACAAAATTTACTCTTCTTCAATTTTTTTCAATCACTAAAAAGTGTGAAAACCATTTTTTTAAAGATTTTATTTATTTATTTGACAGAGAGAGACACAGCAGGGAGAGAACACAAGCAGGAGTGGGAGAGGGAGAAGGCTTCCCGCGGAGCAGGGAGCCCGATGTGGGGCTCGATCCCAGGACCCCGGGATCATGACCTGAGCCAAAGGCAGATGCTTAACGACTGGGCCACCCAGGCGCCCCACCATTCTTTTTTTTAAAACTTGAAGAAGTTTTTTGTTTTTTTTTAAGATTTTATTTATTTGTCAGAGAGAGAGAGAGAGCAAGAGCAAGCACAAGGAGGGGGAATGGCAGGCAGAGGGAGAAGGAGCACGGAGCCCGATGCGGGACTCCATCCCAGACCCTGGGACCATGACCTGAACTGAAGGCAGACACTTACCGACTGAGCCACCCAGAGGCCCTGTAAAAACCATTTTTAACTCATGGGTCATGCAAAAACATGTGGCAGGCCTGGATATTTCCGGTGGACTACAGTTTGTCAACCACTCTCCACTAGGGGAGAGTGAGAAAGAAGGAAAGGCAGATTGTACCTGGTTTAATAACTGGGGGGACTATACGTGAATTATATCTAATAAAAAATGTAGCTCCTTTCTAACACATATACATTCATGAGTCTCAGTTGCAAAGAACAGGCATATTTCACTGTCTTTAAGATTAAAAGAGCTTAGAAACATAATCACTGATCCTAGGCAAAAATCATTCTAATCAAACTTTAAGTAGATAATTCATTCTATAGAATCTTAAAATTATAGCAGTAGGTATATTATTCATTACCATTTTGTCCCTGAGTCGCTCTCCACGGATAAAAAAGTCAGCACAGCCATTCTCTTCCTGGTGAGGGACTTTGAAGACCGTGACGCAGCTTAGTCCACTCCCTCCAAGTGGTAACCATCCACCACTTGAGTCATCCCGGGTCATCACCACAGCTCGCACTCGTGCATAACTATTACTAAAACAGATGTAAAGATTAGAAATTAGGTTTTCTATAAACAAGAAACAGCCAAGCTGTCAGTCTTATTTGAGAAATCAAAGACCACATTAGTTAATGTGTGGTAACTAAAATGTTTCCTACTTCCATGACAGTCCACAAAGTAACCTACTTGAAAGAGGTAAAAAACCACAAACTAACTTAAAAGGTTAACCTTCATTTTGAAGACTAACCTTACAACAAAAGACTGCAGATCTTGTTTTTCAATTCATCATTTGAGTAGTTGAAACACATCTGATTGCCATGGAACAAGTTATAAGGGACCCCAGAGACAAATATTGTCAAATTATATAGGCCACCATCAAACTTATTTATGTCCACCTGTTGCAATATAATCAGGACAAATTACTGCTATATTTTAGCACATTTAATTATGACATCTCTAAGTTTCTAACATTTCTAGATTATAAAGTGCTGAAACAAACACAGTACAGAAGCCACATTTTTTATTTCTTCTAACAACTGGGAATCTAAATCACACAGATCATATAAAGACAAATGTTCTATTTCAAGAACTTATCAAGCAAATTCATCTACAGAAACTTTTCATGCTCTCTTTTTAGCAGTCTCTAAAGAGACCACATTCTAGTTCTAGCCAGAATCATTTCCCAATATTAACCACAACTGTTCTTTACGTAAAATCTAAGAAATGTGTCACATAAAGTAGTATTTTAGATTACTGACATCTAAGCATTATAGTTCCAAACTTTTAATATAATAATTATTAATGAAATCCTTTCTGAAAGTAGTATATCTTGACAACTTCTTAGAAAATTGTATTAAATATAATTTAAACTTGTCTTGGTTACTATGAATATCAACTGAGGTTCTATGTAACAGTTCTGTGCTACTTAGTGTCTTTGCATGTTCCAAGTGTTAGGTTGCCAGTTGTCATTTCTATTGTCCTAGTGCTTGTCTAAAATCTCCCCCTAGTTGATTTTTTTTTTTTTGCTTTACATATTTATACTTTACACACAATAACATATTGATCTTAAATATAAAATTCAAAAAATTCTGACAAATGTACACATCTGCATAACCAACATGATAATCAAGATATGGAACATTTTCATGACTCCAGAAAATTCCCTTAAGCCTCCTATCCATCAAATAGGTAACCACTGTTCTGTTTCTAAATAAATAATAAGCTTTTACTGTTACGGGCTTTCAGTACCCATAGAATCAAACAGAACCACCATTTGTACCCTTTTTGTCTGACTTATTTGACTCATTATATTGTTGTATTAGTTCACTCTTTTTTACTGCTAACTAGTCCTTCACTGAATAAATACATCACAATTCACTTGTTTCTTGTATTGATGGGCATTTGGATTGTTCCTAGTTGCTGACTATTCTGAATAAAGCTGTTATATAAATATTCTTGTACAAGTCTTTTTGTAGACATACTGCTTTCATTTCTCTTAATATGGAGGAATGGAACTGATGGGTTACAGGATAGTATGTTTAGCTATAAAAGAAATTTAACAAACTGTTTTCCAAAGTGGTTTTATCATTATACATTCCCATCAATAATGCATGATAATTTCAGTTGCTCCATATCCCTACTAATATTTGGTGTTTCTAGTCTTAAATTTTACTCATTATAGAGAGTTTACAGTGGCAACCCATTATGGTTTTAATATCAATTTCCCTGATGACTCATGGTGTTGAACAACTTTTCATATGCCCATGGGCCATTTATATGCCATCCTCTTTTTAAGTCTTTGGTCATTTTTTATTATGCTTATATTATTGATTTTTTAGAAGTTCTTTATATATTCTTGACCCAAGTCTTTTGTCAGAAAGCTTAGTATACTTTTAAAGTGTCATTGTGTTATGGTCGAGTGAGGAGTCTAAAGTCATATTTTTACAAGTTGGATCCTGACTCAGCAACTTATTAGTTGTGTGTCCTTGAGATAGTTACTGTATGCACCGTTCATAAACATAAACAATGCCTGACACATAATAAACAATATGTAAGTATTAATTATTATTACTAAAACAAAGAATTAAAATTGTAGTAGTCATCCTGATAATTCAAAGCCAAGAAGGACCTGGGAAGAGATAAAATTTACAAAGTCAACCATAATTCTCTATTATTGGAGTCAAACTATCAAACTAATTCTTTAAGGGAAGTGCTACAAGTCTTCAGCTTTACAGGTTACTGTTCTAAGCTTTTTATTATTCAGAGGCTCTGATTCTTGTCTGGGCCCCGTTCTTATCAATCTTCAACTCAGAGCCGGTCAGTATTCTATGAATGCATACCATAAAAAGCTGGTCTGATGGAAGTATCAAATTGGAGTCCTACTCTTAGGATGGGCTGGAACCTCTATTATAAATAAACGTGACATGTATACCAAGAAGCCAGGGAAGCTTGTTACACTGAGAACCAGCTTGGAGGGACAGAATCAATACTAGACAAAGGTCATTTGGTTTGTCAAGAATTTAACCTAAGGATACCCCAGAAGCACAGCACATAACTTAGACGTATTAGATTCAGATTAACTGTGAACTGAACTCATTCATTTAAAGGTCAATATGTTTGAAGTTCAGTGAAGTCACAAAGGTAGAACTTGGGTTAAAACCAAACTTCAAGTTCCCAACAAGCATTTAAGTATTTATTTTACTGTAAGATCCTGACTCTTCCTTCTTACCTAATTCTGTAAGTAAACTGGGAAGTTTAAGAATTTTATCCTAGGTTCTACAAGACTTAAAAACCCAAGGAGTAAAATAACCCATTCAGAAGCTCAGGGTATATTTTGACTTTAGAGTACGAGAGTAGTTAACCTCTTTAGGGCATAGACTCTTATTTTTTCATCTTTGACTTTTACTAATTCTCATTTACAACTGTATAATGCTTCTCAGCATATTTTATATTTAAAAGATATAAAAATGTCCATAAGTAAGAGTATTAGAAAATATATAAAAATCCTAAGTAGTTATTTTAGGATGGTGAAGTTAGGTATTTCCCCTTCATTTCTGTTTCTTCAAAATTATTTTATAATTAATATTACATTTTAACTATGTCTTGGCTTTACTCAAGATACTGTAAAAATTTTAAAATGTTCTTAACAATGTATGAATGCATTTTTTCAAAAGTGTCCCTAACATAATTCTCTTTGCTAACCCAATTATTTTGTTTTCTACTTTATAAAGTGCCACCTAGAAGAGACGTATTGCCCTTTCTAGAAAAAATCAGATAAAACAAAGATCTCTTTAGTAGAAGAGTAATAAGGCTGCCTGATTCACTGTTCACTTTAATACAATAAAAGAAGTTTTAAAGCTGACCAGTAATTTATATACTTTTTTAAATCTCATGCTTTCATCTATACCAAATATGTCATTGTTTCCCTTATCTTTTCAAGCCGATCCTTCAAGCTTTAAAGTATTCCAGGAGCTTATGTAAATAAATCTGTATTGCCCTTACTAGAGCCTTTGTTAGTTTATAATTTAACAACTCAGCTTCCAACGTTAAGACCTAAGACTAGAATACGTACCATAAAATTTTTCAATAAATAATAATGTGTGGGATGGGGTTTTGTTGTTTGTTTTTAAAGACAGACCTTCCTTCCTGCCAAGGTTAATCTTTTCACCTGTGCTTTTAATTCTTATAATCTCTTTACCTTCAAATTGTTTTCTTTTCCCAAATAAAAGTAGTAACTCTTCTGCATAAAACATGCAACCTCACCTGAAGACTAATGGCAGCTCTTACAAACTGTCCTATCTGCCTTGCAGCATAATAAAATTTGTACCTGTAATCCCCTCCTTAGATAAAAGTGACTTTAAAGGAACCAAACTGTATTATTCTATTTAAAATAATAATAAACATTTTTCCCTGATCATGTAAACAACAGAAGCCCATTCTAGTAAATGTGGAAAATAAAGAAAAATACTTGCCATCATAAAGTTAAAATTGGATCTTACTCTGTGTATCATATTTGTACTCTATTAGTCTATTAGTCTGAGACAACAGCTATTTATGATGACAATATATTCTTATTGCTAAGAATGCAACAATTTCCCTCTTGAGCTACTTTAATACTTAGTTGAAAGGCACTTGTTCTCAGTGATTTATCTTAAAAAATCTGACTTAATACTTAGTTGAAAGGCACTTGTTCTCAGTGATTTATCTTAAAAAATCTGACAGTAACTACTTCTATAATTTTCTGAAATAGTTCAAACTAAAGCTCTATTCTTCCCTGTTACGGTAGTGGACTACACAATAACCACTTTTCAGCCTAGCTTTTATTCTAATGAAACGAAGAGGCTCTTATTGTAAAACATAGCTGGGTTACCTTTATTTTATGCAAAATCTAAATCGTATCTCAACTGCTAATCTCTGATCTCATCTGAACAATTATATCAAATATATCCTTTCAGCTATAGTCAGCAAATTAGAAAACTAATACAGAAGTCCAGGTGAGAGGTAATGTTGGATTGGCCTTGGGTGATAATAATGGACACAAGAGGAATGAACTGATTTGGGTCTATTTTGGCGGAAGGGCCAGGAGGACTTATTGATGGGGTTAAGCAAGTGTTCTAAAAATTATCTAAAATTCTTAGTCACCATGACCTTTATTTTCTAAAATTTTCAACTGGTACTTAAGTAAAGTTAAAGGTAAAAGAAGAAGACCAAACATGAAGATAAATTTTGCCTCTCTTATATTGATCCATGTAGTTTCTTTTGAAATAGCAGTACTGTATTACACATAATCCAGAATAACTCTAAAGCTGTACGTTATTGTATTTTGTGGTAAATTCCTATTACGGTTGCATTTTCAACTTTGCACGTTGGCAAAAACATTTCCTATCAAATCAGGATACAGTTATAGAAAATTCTACAAGCCCCAATAGTCTAATATGCAAAATGTCCTTGGCCTAAAAAATGGCCTTTTTTTCTGTTTCTTTTCTCCCTCGTATCATACTCTTGCTCTGTTATTACCAAGCCTATTATATACATC